TTTAATAGTCAAAAACCGCGCGATAATTTAAATGAATTGACCGCATAAAATATATTAGCATCAGCTTTAGCACCGGTATCTTGTCCCTTTCTTTTCTTATTATTTTGGTATTATCACATCAACCCAGTAGATTCCGTATAAGCTATAAGAACACGTACGTGTTCCTTGGTTGATTTTATCCACAATATTGCATTTCAGTGCTCCTATAAAAGATCTCAAGTTTTGTTACCGAAGTTTCAGTAATCTTGTCATCTCAATTATCAGATTCATTTTTGCAAGCAAGGAAATTGCACCGAAAGTTTCCCATATTGGAAAATTCCTTCGCTTTTCTCAACAAGGGATGGCGGTGCAGTGCGAGCGGAGAACTGAGAGCAAAATCAACCCAGGGAGCTCCCAGCAAAATCTTGGAAGCCTTAAACTGTAAATATGATTATGGCGGTTGGAGATTCCAGTGAAGGAAGTGATGGTCATGTTTGAGCTTAAGGTCTCCAAGATTTGCGTTTGAGCTTCTTGGGGTTCATTGATTCTGCTATCAGCTCTGCTTGCACTGCTCATCCATATTCCAATGAATAATCTCTGTCCAACTTTCGGTTCACTTCCCTTTCATGCAGACATGAAACAATCTTCGTCTGTTCTGCAAATCCCTAACACAAGAAAATTTCTCAGTTGAGGTAGAATCTTTCTTCCCTTCTTGGCTTTTAAAGTTTTCTGGCTATGCTATTTGCTGTTTCTATTGCCATGTTTGATAAATGGTTTCTGTTTTCGCAATAAAAACAGAGCATTTGCTTTTTTTCATGTTTTTCATTTGCATCCCTTAATAATGAATTTCGCTTTTGCCTTTCTTTTTTCTATACACATACTCTAAATCTAATCTTAATCTTATTGGAGATGAAGAAGAAGAACGATTCTAAAGAAGAAAAAAAATATAATATGTCTCTCTCTCATAATCTATAAATCTATAAATAAAAATAAATTAACCAATCAATCAAATATACTTATTCTTTATCAAATTTTTCTTATCAGTACACATAAAATTTAATCGAGAACTGATTCATATATTATTGTATCTTAAATGCCATGAAATATGTATTAAAATAATATTCTATGAAATATGTATTAAAATAATATGCTATGAAATGTTCTTATAGTTATACTATCAATAGTATATTATTGTTAGGATTAACTATATAGAATATTATTGAAATTTAGGCTATATTAATTTTATTATTAAATTTTCAATTATTTTAATTTAATATTAAATTTTAATTTTGAATTCAATTAGGGTATTAAATTCTAAAATCCTCAAGGATGTAATGATATAGTTGTTTCATCTTTCCCATGATTTATAATTTGCATATTGATTTTGTTATTAAACAATTAAAACATGCTAGTTTAGATATTAAATTTTAGTTTGTGTATTAATTTAGTCTTTGTTGAAATTTAACAACTCCTTCGATTATTATTGTCGGTCAATTGTCGCTCATCACTAATAATCATCTATGACAAGGTTAAGGTTAGTATTAAAATATTTTTCACAAGACTCGTTCAAAATCAACAAAAATTCATCTAAAGATTCGATGATTTAATGTTTTAGCATTTTCTCTTGTCGCGTCCCTAAAATCTCGAACTAGAAACCGTGCGGTCTTAGACGTTTTTTGTGAGTGAAAACGACTAAGTCAATCTGAACAAATTAAGTAAAAACACTTAGACAAAAGAGCGGAAGCTAACATAATTTTAAAAATAAAATGTCTCACAAAAGAACAAAAGAAAGTGAGAGAATAACTTAGTTTTTCTCGACTATTAATTTTTGTGTAAAGAACACAAATGGTTCCTCAACTAGAGGGTACTATTTTATAAGTCCCTCAACTATTAAAAGTTATAAGATGGTCCTTTGACTATAAAGTGTTGCTTTATTGAGTGTCTCGAATATTAAAATTTACAAAATGATCACTCGACAATTCATTATGTTTCAAACTCATCATTTTTCGTTAAAAAATGAACGATATTCTGAGCTAGACGTTAACTTGTTAACTGTGATATGATAAAATCTGATACCAAAATCTTAAACGACTATCATATCCAGTCATCATGTTAATGTTCAGCTTAAATAATCGTTAATTTTTAACGGAAAAAGATAGAGTCTAAAACACATTAAATAGTCTATCAAAATTAAATCTCAAATCTTTAAAAATAATATATTTTATGTGCCTAATTTGATGAGTTTTAAAGAGATGTTGAAAAAAAATTCTAAAATGATAAAATACAAGAAAACAAATTTACGAATGTCTAGAGTGATGGTAAAAGACGTCAAAGAGTTAAAAAAATTACAACAGTTAAAATTAAATGAAAAAAATTAATTTTTGATAAAATAAAATATTTTTTTATTTCAGCACTGCATCAATATTCAAACTGTCATATTATTTAATTATTAATAATTTATCAATTTAATTGAATTCAAAATTATATTTTAAATTCACATATGATTGAATTTAATACTAACACTAATTGACATCAAAACATCAGTTTGAGTGTATGTAGTACTAAATAAACGGATGGACCCATAAATCAAGCAGGGTATCATAGTATGAAGCAGTTGCATATAAGGTGCCAAAGCTGAGAATTTGGTGACACTGCTTGACAATCTTCCTCCTCCTTCCATCATCGAAGCATGCTCCAAAAGAACTATACTCTGGATTTCCTAATAGTTATCAGATGAAATAGAAGTTTCCCTCATGCTATAACTGTTATTAACTTCCACAGATCGGTGGCAGCAGCCTGGTGGAGAAGAAGTGTAGGAAGATTCAGCATGGTTGAGGAATCAGCACTACACTGGTTTTCTTTTTTCGGTTCTATAGTAGAGTTGATTTCTATAGCTGATGCAGTTGCTGATGCTGATTTGTTCTCCATTATTAATACCCTTTTCTTCAAGGGAGTGTACCAGTAGTTTTCAATATCGTTGTCTGCTCTTGTTCCTTAAAATGATGATCGTATCAGCAAATTAGGGCATTTTATTCCAATTCCAAGTACCTCGTCTCATAATATAAGCAATAACTTTAGTCATTTTTACACTTTGTTTTTAGGGTAAATTACACCTATAACCATTTAACTACAGAAATTTTTAATGAGTATAAGCCTTTTAATTTTATCAATCAAACAATTTAAACTATTTAAACAATGTCAATTAAGACAATTAAGGTTAACATTTGATGAAGTAGGCAATGTGACAGTTAATAAAATTAATATAATTACATATTTACTCCATGTTATTTACTCGTACTATTAATTTAATCTTAATTTTAATTTAATTTAACAAATTTAATCATATAATCAAATAATTATGAAATATATGACTAAAATATAAATAACGACCTAAACTAGGATATCCGTTGGAATTTATTTAATTTTAGGGTTTATATCAATTGTATCATTTAACTTTAAAATTTAAAATGTTTCAATTTTAATATTAAATTTCAATTTTGATTTCAATGCAAGCGCTCAGCATTAACCCATTAACAACTAAATGATGTGATAGTCTAGCGTTGATGTGTCCAGATATAAGAGCTAAAAGTTTAATCACTTTATAATATTTTACATTAAAATTAGGGGTTTTCACCTATTTTTAATCACCGTAAAAAATCGTATTTTTTAAGATTTTTTGAGATCATCTTAGACGCAAATGAATTCGTTATGTTATTCCGTATTATTTTATCAGTTTATATTTTTAATACCTTTTTAAAACTCACAAAAGTAAAATAAAATAAAATAATTATTTTGGGGGTTTAAAAACTTTCTCAGATTTGATAAATTTGTGATATTTACTAAAAATTTCAAATGAATATAATCTTTCTTTCGAGAAGACGAACAAAAAACTTGAAATTAGTCTCATCGAATGACCGTTTGAGGATGGAGTATTAGAACATATAACCTTAAAATGTATTTTCATCAATATAGAGTAAGTTTTCGCTAAGCAAAACTGTTTTATAGCGGCGTTCTGAGAGTAAACGCCACTAACTTCAAACATCTAGCGACGGTTACAATCCAAACGCCACAAAATGGTAACTTTAGCGGCGTTTGTATACAAAAATACCACAATTGGGTTCATCGATAGTGGCGTTTATTCAACAAATGCCGCAAAGAGTAGTACTTTAGTGGTGTATTTATACAAACGCTGCAATAGGTTCATTTATAGTGGCGTTTCTCAACAAACGCCATGAAAAAGTAGTATTTTAGCGGCATTTTTATACAAACACCACTAAAACCAATAGCATTAGCGGCGTTTGTGGTAAAACAACGCCACTAAAATCAATAGCATTAGCAGCGTTTGTGGAAAAAACGCCACTAAAACCAATAGTATTAGCAGCGTTTGTGGTAAAATACCACTAAAGGTAAGAGAATTAGTGGCGTTTTTAGCCACAAACGCCGCTTTATAACTAGACCTTTTGCGGCGTTTTAGGTTCACAAACGCCGCAATATTTTGTGGCGCTTGTTTTAGCGGCGCTCATACTAGCGCCGGTAGTGTTTTTAGCGGCGCTTAAAAACGTCGCTATAGGATTAAAAAAACGCCGCTAAAAACCTGTTTTGTTGTAGTGTTTGTGAAAAAACAAATCTAAGGAAAAGAAAGGGGATTAAAATGTGAACTTTTCGATATTGATCTTGTCACGAATGATGTCCAATGATGGACGGAATAGTGACCGCACGAGTTAACGATTGTATGTAGGGATCAAAATAATATACAAACTAAAGTGCAATACCTAAAAATGAAACATTTTAAAGTCAAGTGAAAAAAATTATACTCAAACTAATGTTCACAGGAAAAGAATGATCATATCATCACACTTTTAACGATTTAACAACTTAATGTTTATATTAAAACAAAAATCAAAGTTTAATATTAACATAAAAGTATTTTAAGTTTAGCGATAAAACCGATACAAACTCTAGTGACGTGTGAAGTAGTAGGCCCAATAAAATAAGAAACTCTAGTTTATGCGGTACTATTACTAAACTAATGGATTGAACCAGAAATCGTCCAGAGAATCACAGTAGTGTTGATGGTGACTGTGCCACCATGCTTCACAATCGAAATCCTCTGTCATCAGTGGCTGCTCCACAAAACTCTGTATTCCCCAATAGTTTTCAGATGAAACAACATGTTCACTGATCATGCTATAAGTGTAGTCAACTTCCACAGTTCGGTGGCAACCTGATAGAGAGAAAGTAGCGCCGTAATCGAATGGTTCTGGGGACTCGTCCATTGCATGAATACTCAGCAGCAAGTTCGAGGACTCGGCGTCACACGAATTCTCCTCAATATTGGAACTGGTTTCTGTGGTTGCCGATGCTGAGCTGTTGTTCGCTGATATTACTGATCTTCTCTTCAAGCAAGTGTTCCAGTAGTTTTTGATATCGTTGTCTGTTCTTTGAGGAAGCCTTGCTGCTATAGCTGACCATCGATTCCCCAGCTTTTTTTGCAGCTGGATTATGGTTTCTTCTTCTTCCCTGGTGAAGTTTCCTCGCCTTATATTGGGTCTCAAGTAATTCATCCAACGAAGTCTGCAGCTCTTCCCTGATCTTTGCAACCCTAAAAAATCAAAATAAGCTGCGTGTTATCATCACTCTACTAAGATAATCTTGACGAAATACAAGTTTTTTCATTACATCTTGTTCATAAAATAATCATACCAGCAAATTTGGGCATTTGATTCCAGTTCCAAATGCCATATCTCATGATATAAGCAGTCAGCTTCTGGTCTTCACCAGCAGTCCACGTTCCTTTCTTTAGGTAAGGGTGTCTCACCATCTCTGAAACTGCTCCAGCACTTGAGTTTTTCAACCAGTTATGGAACTTGAACTCTTAGTTCCTTGTATATTTATATCGATTGAGGATAGTGATCCGAGGGTTGTAATCATCCGATTAATTTCCTAGAATGTGACTTATGTTTGAATCACCTTTAACGGAGTTTACTTGGAAAAAATGGATCCTCAAGTCCTTTTTTATCCCTTAAATAATATGCGGGTTGGTAAGTCTATATATATAGTTTTGTATGCGGAAATGTCATGGGACAAGTGTACATTCCATGCAACCGTTAGGAAACGAAACAAAAAAATATATGATTTTCTGACGTGTGAATATCAATCATGTTTTGTCTAAATTTGGGGGCTACGATAGATAAAATCAAATATTAATTTCTTTTATTCTTGGAACTAATTAGATTTAAGGTTGACTCGATCTATATGGTATACTTACTAGTTTCTAGGATCCTGGGAATGGGAAAATCGGACGGGTAGGTCATATAATTTCCAAATTGTAACCAAGCTTAATAATATGCCTGGCAAATTTGGTAGAATAATTTTTTCGTCAAAATTATTTGAAGATATATGATTGATGAAAAATTATTTAAGGATTTGTGAGATTTATTATTGTGGATTAGAAATTCGTCACGTGAACATGACAAGTTTTATAAAATATATTTTTTATTGGAATTTGTCGTGTGGACCTGATGAGTTCTAATAAAACATATATTTTATGAAATTCGAAACTCGTCATGTCCATGAGACGAATTTCAAAAATAAATTAAATTTTATAAAATTCATTATATTCACGTGACAAGTTCTCAATTCACTACAACCAATGACGGGTGTACGTTAATGTCCATCCTGAAATTTTATGAAATTCGAATTTTCTTTTATAAAACTTAATTTTTTATTAATATATGTAGGTCCACTCTAAAATTTTATGGTGTCTACCTTAAAATTTTATTGTATCCAATTAATTATAAAATACTTATATTATTAATTAGCATATATATGCTTTTTTCCCTCTTAATCTGCCATTAACTATAACGATCATTTTAGATCCTTAAAAAAATCATGGTCCATATTTCTCTTAATTTTTTTTGCGTGCAATATTTCTCTAATTTTGCCTACTATGATTTGGCGTTGCAGGTGCGTGTGATCTTTCTTTCTCAAAGTCTCCACATATTTTAACAACTCTCGTTGAATTTTGTTCCCTAGATTAATTTTCCTTGCTTCTTGTTATATATGTAAAATAAGACATTACCTTGTTAACAAATCAAAATAATCAATTACTATTTTCCTTAAAGGAGGGACCAAGTAATTTGCTTTTGATACATACATGATTACTTTAACTTCTGCCATGGACTTTTTTTAACACTTAAATCAAATTTTATATTATTCATTCCAACATAATAAATATGCATATATTGCTTGGACATTCTAATGAAGCTAAGTAATTTACATGAAAAATAAATATAAAAAAAATCTTTTATGTACTTTATCCATTAAATGAACCCTGAAGAAATTAATAAAAAAAATATACGTAACTCATCAAATTAGTTTAGTGATACGTCAATGATAAAAGAGAAGGTTAACTTTGTTAGAAATTCTAAATTTGAGCAACTATGATTTTAGAATGTGTGCGCCGTAAATATATATAGTTTTGAAAAACAATAAAATTTAATTACTAAAATAGAATAAAAATAATAGTTTAAGTACTAAAAGAGTAGTTTAACTGAATAAAAAACTAAAAGCCAATAAAAAAATTCTCATTCTCAATCAAAATACAAAAACGTCACTACAGCAAAACAGAGATTTAGCGGCGTTTTTTTAGTTCTATAGCGGCGTTTTTAAGCGCCGCTAAAAGCAATTGCGGCGATAGGAAAAACGCCGCAAAAAGCGCCGGCAATACCAGTGTCGCTAAAGTTAGTGGCGTTTGAGAACAAAAAACGCCGCAATAGGTCAATATCTATAGCGGCGTTTTTGAAACAAACGCCGCAAAATGTGTCACATTTAGCGGCGTTTTTTGTAACAAACGCCGCAAAATGTCGAGATCTTTAGCGGCATTTTTTGAACAAACGCCGTAAAATGTGAGATCTATAGTGGCATTTTTTTGGAGCAAACGCCGCAAAAGGTCATATTTATAGCGGCGTTTTTGGAACAAACGCCGCTAATTACCTTTATTTAGCTAAGATTAATTGATTTTGCATATTTTATTTCTGCTCTACATCACCTAAATTTAATAGCATGTAGCTTTATCTAATTAACAAAACAAGTTATGCAGAAAAATACTTAACAACAAAATAGATTAAAATTTATAAACATTAAAATTAAATGTAATGTAATTGACATTGTTCTCTATAATTTAGTCTAGGTGATACATACATCAAAAATTAATCCCCGGAAATTCCATCCACCACAAAATCTTGAAAACAAAAGTAGGAATGTAAAAATGAGTTCCATATCGTCTGGATTCATACTTGTGGCACTTCAGTTGGATCCTCATTTTACTATCTTCTCTACCGAACCTAATTGAGGACCAGAATTCACTGAAGTAGAGTTAATTATCCAGTCTATTCAATCTTCACTTACAGCATTTGCACAGTGAAATAAAGGACCAACAAAGAAAAATAAGCAGTGAAAAATAATCACAATCAACAAACCAACTCAAGAAAGATATGAACATCGAGTTTAAACATAGCTTAATGCAGGTTGTAAATGACAATTGAGATGACATTTTCTACTAGGTGCACTCAGCAAAGCTTGCTGTCTCAAAACCTTATCCTCGGTTTCCATGTCTGAAATCTTGTCTTCTCAGTTAAAAGATATAGACTGCATGGAAGATAAGCAGTTCAAGTGAAGAATGAACAATCCAATTGACTTAACATTCTTACTAACTTAAACATCAAACATCTATTAGTACAACACAAAATCAGGATAAAACCTTTGCATCGCAGTTTTTAAGTCAATTATCCTCATCTCAGCCTCTGTAGCCTGCTTTAGCCGCACTTCGCAAATCTGTTCTAGTGTAGCTACCTGAGCCTGAAATGGAAGTTTGGTAAAAAAATTATTTCAAGACATAAATGAAAAATCACTAACTTTAAATGACATTTAACAAGCCTGTAGTCCAAGTAAGGTCCTTTATTCGGAAGTAACAAATATTTAACAATACCTTAAGCTGTTCATTTTCAGCTGTAAGTTTATTCATCGTTTCGTTGTCAACTACCGTGACCCCTTGAGTGACAGGAACTTGTCCAAAAGTTTTGTTTGTGCCCCAATTTTCCTTCTCACGTTGCAACTTCTGCAACTGCCAAGTAAGTTCTTCAACTTGCTTTCCAGTTGGCCTGTAGCAGGGATTCGGTTTCTGGGCAGCCTGCCGACAATCATGGATAATCAATTGTAACAATTATGCACATACTTTCACCTCATGGATAAGCCTATGAGATCATCACATCAAACAGGTGAATACACTGGAAAACTGTACTGGAATCTCTTGATCATCCAGAATGGAAGTTAGCAGTTTTAGTGAAGAAAAGAGTTAACTGAACCAACAGATAAGAAGAGAGAACATTTTTTTGGAACCAAAAGGTGGATTAACTAACTAACTAACTAATTATTTAGGGATCTATAATCTACATCCTATTCCTGCTACTATGGTGATTGAACCATCAGTTATTGAAATTTTCCTATTGATTGGACGTGGAGAATTAGGATTAACTTTGAATGGTTATTTTCCTATCGATTACCAATTCAATTGACTGAACAAGGACTAAACCATGGATTTAATATCACATGGCAGTAGAGTACATTAGTCAAAACCACCATCTATTAAGAACTTGTTGAAGGAAATTGAGAACATGTGTATGCAAGACATCATGAGCTTAAACTAATTTAATAAAATGAAAAAAAATTGAGAAATCACCATTTTTAGTTTGCGTAATTCTCTACGCGCAAGTTTTGCTCTCCAAGCACATTGTGCGACGAGTGCAGCTCTCTTTAACCTTTTGTAATAACGGCTCACCAAGAATCGACGACCTTGACTCTGTCACGGACATGAAATCACATGGTATCAGTATGCTGATATAGCAAAAATAGCAACCAGACATCGCAAAAACACTTGTCATCAACATTATTTCTTTTGCTAAACCAACAAGCATCCACGTTTAATGCAAAACAACTCAGATAAAACTTCATCGAAGAGATGAAAATTCCTAAAAAGGAGTAAAATCATAAATAAAAGGAAAACAACTAACTCTATTAATATTCATTAATTGAAAGAAATACATATACCAACATATAATCCCTTTAGTCCTTGCTCTTTCCATATTGAACATCCAACTTGGAACATTCCAGTGTAATAACCATACATTTGTTCACCAGATTTCATTCGCAATTGGTCATTCATGATAGCCGAATTCCAAGAGTTTCCTAAGCCTTGAACCTGCATGTGTTGCTTAATCACTTCACATGGAACATATACAAAAGAACCAAGTGTATCACCTGAAAATCAGAGAAATACAAGATAGAAATCAGATATCATTTGTGCATTTCAAGCAATATCAGATCATACAGAGAAGATGAAAAGTGGGGATAACAAAGTAAATTTTTGCAAAGGTGAAGCTACTAATATTGATAATGCGAATCAAAGTTTTCAGCAGGATGCTCCACTAGGGTTCTCCTTTCCTCTAAATACATCTTTGGTTTCACCTGCTGCTCCAACTGGGCAAAACTTTCGAGATAATATTCTGAAATAAATTAATTCACGAGCTAATGTACTCCCAAGATTAATTGCTCAAATAGGGTGAAATCCACAGTGTTGGCCGTAGGTCGCCATGCACTTCGGGCGACCTTGTAGGTCGCCATGCACTCCTGGCGACCTTGTAGGTCGCCATGCACTCCGGGCGACCTACCCTTGCTCAAACAGAGAGAATGAACGTGTTGCATGGCACATGCACGTCCCAACACATAGGTCGCCAAGCCCTCCGGGCGACCTTGTAGGTCGCCATGCACTCCGGGCGACCTACCCTCGCTCGGATTCCCTCGCATAGCTCGCTCGGTTACCCTCGGATGCCCTCGCATAACTCGTTCGGATGGCCTCAGATGCCCAGCGTGTTGGGACGTGCATGGCACATGCAATCTCTTGTAGCTCGCCGGGAAGACATGGCGACCTAGTAGGTCGCTCGGAAGGCATGACGACCTACGGCCAACACTGTGGATTTCACCTTATTTAAGCAATTAATCTTGGGAGTGCTTTATCTCGTGAATTAATTTTTTCCAGAACATTATCTCGAAAGTTTTGCCGCTCCAACTGCTACAGGTTTCCTCAACCAAAAGTTTGTCCATCGAAGTTTCCCGATGTGGTTGTTGTTCATCAGCAGAAGAGATTCATTTCCCGTTTGCCGGTTTCATATGGAATACCACTCCCTTTTCTGTAGCAGTTTGGATCACCACAAGATGAAAGTTTAGAAACTTGGAGGTTAGCCCCTGGCATGCCTTTCCACCCATTTCTGCCTTTGCCTCCATGTCCCCCTGATAATAAAAACATTCAACCCACTTCTTCTGCTAAATCTATCGACACGAGTGCCGAAGTAAAAGAAGGGCAACAGGACAGTCGTCGACCAGTCACCAGTTATCCCGTTGAAAGCATTCCAAGCATAGTTGATGGAAACCACCCAGAGTCTGATATTTCAGGTACTAACATCCAACAGACATTCAAAAGAACAATAGAATCCTCGTATGATTTGGGTAAGATGTACTTCAGAAAACAAAAAAGAAAAGGACTGCCGTGGGATAAATCGGAAATCAACTGTTGCATAAATGTAGGACATGTAAACAATGAGCCCAGAAATTCATGTTATTTAGATGATATAAACCAGTAGAGTTGGAGTGAAGGTCGTAATGATATTTGTCTGTAATCATTGCCGACCCAAATCAACATTGCTTTATAGAAAAAAAATTCTAAATTCTGTTAACTTAAATTTTCTTTCATTTTAATTCTTTCATACATTTGATGTATTTCCCTCAATTCTTTGTTTCCTGTGTCTAAGTTCCAGTGGAAATGTGTAACCCTATTCGATTACCAACTTGTGAAGGTAATTAATTGCTGGTTCTAAGTTTCGAGCACGAGTCTCAGACCTCCTATGTTCTCACCAAACGTTGGTTCAAACCACAAATCACCTTCAGCGAAGAGTACTTCTATATACTATATTACTGAATTCCAACCCAAAACCAATACGACTATGCATACAAAATTTACAATAGCTCGACAGCTTTTCCATTTTAAATGACAAATAAAACTTAAAATATATTAAAAAACAACTAAACAACAGCTATAACAAAATTCATAAATGAACCCTAAAAGTCATAATAAAGCGTATGAGGAAAGTGAAATTCAAATCTGAAAACCCTAAAGTGTACGAGAGAGTGAGAGAAATGAAAACATTAGGGGAAAAAAATAAAAAACTAGGAGGAGAAGCCTGACCTGCAATAAAAAAGAAAGAGAATAGCAGACATTGAAATGACGGAGCTTGGAATTGCTGAAGAATTCATTGACTGTTTCTTCGATTGATTTTTTCTCAGATGACGATTTCAACAAGTTCAATATGTTACACTGTTCTTCGAAATTCAACATCTTATTCCCCAATCTTTTTTTGCCTAAAATTTTCTAGCGATATTTAGGGTTTAGAGTAAAGAATCCTTTCCTGAGTGAGTTCCTATGGATGAGAATCCAATGAATTCAGATATGTTACTATTTATAATTTTTATATTTAATTAGCTATGAATAAGAACCCTTCAAATAAGAATTGAAGACTAATAAGACTCTGTTGGCTTTATTTATTTAGTGGCGTTTATATAAATACGCCACTAAAGTATAAGTATTTGGCGGCGTTTGTGGTTAAAACGCCACTAAAATATTAGTCTTTGGCGGTGTTTTAAGCAGAAACGCCACTAAAGTACATTATTTAGCGGCGTTTGTGCTTAAAACGCCACTAACGTACGAGTTTTAGCGGCGTTTGTACAAAAACGCCACTAAAGTTTAGTATTTAGCTGCGTTTATATAAAAACGCCACTAAAGTACAAGTATTTACCGGCGTTTATTCAAAAAATGCCGCTAACAACCCATTTTGTTGTAGTGAACCAAACAACCATTGTCTTAACAGCAGCAGTAGCATTGGCAATAGAATCAGCAGAGACGAATTACGAAGCCAATTTGATTCAGTTCTGGTTTTGTTGTATACCACTGAATTATGATTTCATACTAGTTTTAAAAAAGATTATAGGGGTCTTGGTAACTCCGCATCTGCTTCATTATTTATCCAAAAAATTCCTCAATAGTAGTAATTAGGACATTACACGAACCTAGTGGCGTGGTCTTCTTCCCCATTGGTTCTTCTCCTTGCTTGTCTTGGCCTGCAATAAAAACTTGGTTCTTCGCCTCGACGGCTTTGGACTTGTTTGCATCGCAGTCTTTCTCCATGGTTTCTTGGAATGTTTTAGCTTTTGGAATATTCTTTTTCTTGGAAGAGGATTGCTTCGAAGATGATTTTGTAATGTAACTGCAAAAGAAATACCAAAATATATCTAGTGGAGCTGTCATAAAAAGGCTTAACAAAGGTTCATGTAATTTTATTTTGACTGACGAAAAACAGGCTCAGTCGAGCGAAATATAATCAAATTACAAAGTGATTTGAGCAGAGAGAGCTACTCGTCTATCATCACCAGCAAACAAACAATCCGCTGCATGCATGCATGGCCCTTCTCTAGCTAGTAATAAATTACAAAGCAAAGTTTCATAGTTACCCTATGGCGAAACATCCAAACGAAGGCAACATCGGTCTCTTCCAGTCCATGTTGTTGGCAAAACAGATTCCATCCCGAAGTAAGCACGTACATCTTTTGAGCCCATAGCCTGAACCTCATGCCCTACTGGTTTCCTTCCGGATCGTAAGTGATGACCGGGATTCCTTGTTCCACGTTCTCATCTTCTTTCAACAAGTGTAGCATGAATTCCTGGACGTGGTTGCTCAAACAAAGCCTTGCTTCGTTCACGTCCACATCGGTTCTCGTCACCTTTTTCTGGTACGGTTTGCTGCAGCTCCCAATGAGGCCGACCAGAGGGACTGCCGGAGGATGTGGGGGTCGTCCTACAAGATACCGAGAGAAAAAATAGCTTCAGAAATAGAGGATTCATCATCGCCCTCCAATTCCAAACCTCTCCGTTATTGTCGTCATCAATGGCTTTTGACTTGTTTTCTTCGGACTCCTCGTTCATCGTTTTACAAGGAGGAGATGTAACCCCAGACTCAGTCTATGCGTTTTGACTAAGTCTAGCATAATACATTTATGATTCTTAAACATATTTTTCAAAAACATTATTCGATAATTAAAAACTTGTTACAAATGACATTTATAAAGTATAATAATTTAACAATAAAAACCCAACTCATGAATATAAAACTAAAAAGTTAAAAATTTAATTTAAAACATGTCGTAAAATTTGGTTTACAATAATCCAAATATCAGTAGCAAAAGCCATAGTCGTCTGAAACAAATACTTCGAAATAAAGACTCATGCTATCAAAATAAAGTCAACTTGAAAGATAAAATCATTATAATCAGATGTACTTCAAAAGATGTGTTGATCCTCCAAGTGTTTGATCCGGGATGTCTAACCAACAGTACCTGAAAGGGAAAAAAATATTTTGCAAAGTGAACTAGAGCTCAGTGTGTCCCAACAGTACGATCAAATCATAGTAGGTACAATAAACGAGTAATAGTTCAGTAAATCATCTTAAAATCATAATGAAGTTTAACTTTTGAAACTCGTAGTTTAAACCCTTCTCCTGTACACCATCCGCAGTTCTCCAGAACTGCGTCCGTAGGACTTACCTTAAGCGCACAGCAAAAAGGAAGCCAACCTAAGGATAGGCTTTGGGGTCTGTATCCTTAGGTCCGTAGGGCTTACCCTAAGCACACAGCAAAGGGAGCCAACCTAATGGAGCATCTTGGAGCCCGAGAGCCTACCCAAGAGTCGTATTAGGTCCGTAAGGGATACCAGCTTGATCAGAGCTGTACCTCCGTACATCAGTCCAACCCAAAATCAATATCTCAAAAATACAATTTATACAGTAAGCATAATTTCCATAAATCCGTAATCATCGTTATCATATATAAGTGAAAACCAATAATCATATATCATTCATAGTCCATAAACCATCACCAGTAATTCGGTGCATCAATAAAACAGTAAACCATAGATTTCAATGTACTATATTTCAAAATAGATAAAACAATTAAGTAGTACATAGGGAACACACCTCGATAATAGGGTCAAACTGTAGATCTATTGAGTACTGGCCTCGCCACACTCTGCTACAGTTTTCGAACCTAATTCATAATAACACTACATTACTAGTGGGTAACATAATTAATTTGTGAAACAGTAAGATTTACGACTCATTCGAGTAAATACTGACACACGCGGTCTAACATATTTAGAAGAGCTGGGTCGAGCTGTCGAGCGATCATGAGAGTCTCTTGTACCTTCAAAAAATTATAATTTATCAGTCCCAAGTCTTACTTTAATCATTCAAAAGCTAAAACTCTTAAGTGCATATGCATTTTTCGGGTTTGACTGTCACTTTATAGGCTTTCGGCTTCGAATTTGGCAAAGCGAATTGCGGAATCCGAATCAGGACGTTGAAAAACATAAAATATGTATTTTCAAAAATTGACTTTTTGGTCAAAGTCAACGGGTTTGACTGACGATTTCGAGGCTTTCGGGTTCGAATTTGAAAAAACGAACTTCAGATTTGGACTAAAGACGTCAAAAATCATAAAATATGACTTTTTGAAAAATTTGACTTTTTGGTCAAAGTCAATGGCCAGTCAACGGTCGGTCAATGGTCAATGGTCAGTCAACGGTCAACGGGTCGGGTTAACGGGCCAAACCGGGTCAACGGGTCACACCGGGTCAGACCGGTCAATTGCCCAACTGATTTCGAACCTCCCCCACGCGCAGAGATGGCGCGTGGAGACGTGTGAGCCCTCCTCTGGTGTCCTAAAAATTCCCAAAAAAATCCAAAAATTATTTTAAGCGATTTTGAGACACTTACCAAGTTCGGTTCAAAATTTTGAACGGTGGAGAGCTCGATTTCAACATGTCGGAAACTTTGACTACTTCACCTCCCTCACGCGCCGCCGAAGACGCGATGGACACCGGTGGACTCGGAACGATGCAAGTAACACGATGGTGTAGGAGGTGTCGAAAATGGAGTAATGATCGGCGATGAATTGACGATTTTCACGACGATTATGTTAAAAAAGTCAAAACTTTAAATCGAAATTCTTGGTGTTTGATAGCGTTTTGCTACGATTGGTTTACGGGGTTTTGTTCACCTGTCAACGACGAACACGATGATGATTTTAGATCGATGATCGGTGGTCGAACGACATCGTGATCTGATTTGAAAGTAGGGGTGCGGGAAGAGGAAAGTTTAAGCAAATGTTCTGATTTTAAAATCAGAACAATTGCACGCATTTAAAACAAAAGACTGTCGACACTCAGTGGAGAAATTTAGGGCTTGATATTTGAATTTCTTTCAATTTCTGAAATAGCCTATAAATTTTGAAAATTTTTAATTTAATCTCTAAATTTCACCAAATTACATAAATATAAATTATTATTTTTTTCGTTTTTCCGGGTTGTTACCGGAGAAAAGGGTTTCGCCTCGATAGTTTGATAGAGGCAGAGCAATGTATATACTATAGAGAGATACTGAAATTCTAAAGGTTTTTGGTTTTTATCTGAATTTCTAGAGAATATGGGATTTCATGAATTTATAGCATTTGTGATGACTTCCCCTTATTTAACCCTTATTTAACTAAACTGTTATTTTTGTTTTAAGATTTTGGAATTTGATTCGTGTTATAATTATATTTAATGTAAAGTTTTCCTAATATCTATATATAAATTTATTAGTTATTGTCATTCATGACTCAAATTATTTAAATTATTTATATTTATAATATTATATTTTATATTAATATTGAATTCATATATATTATCTACTAATATTCTTTATTAGTATAATCCTTGTCAAACTTTAAAAATTAAGAAGTAACATAATAAAAATATTTATAAATAAATAACATTGGGGGCAATTTTCCCGATATATCACCGTCCATCATTTTTTTTTCCGATCAGACATCGTTCAGATTATATTTCCCGATCAGGCACCGTTCAGACTATATTTCCCGATCTAACACCCTTTGCAGAAAGACGCGCCCCCTGCAACGCGCTTAATGCTGATTTGACACTACGTGGGGTAAGACGTGCATCTTGAGGCGCGCCTTATGCTGACATGGGATACACGTGTGTATAGCGCGGCCCCTGATGCGCGCCTTCGGCCACGTAGGGTATAGCGCGGGACAGGGACCGCGCCTTACCTTTAACACAATTATGTTAGGCGTGGACCAGGGGTCGCGCCTTAGCTTTATATGATATAATTATTTAAGGCGCGGTGCATGTACCACGTCTTGTAGCTTTTCCCGACTGTAAATACCCTTTCCCCCGGTAACTCCTCACATCTCCTCTCGATTATAAAAAAATTAATAAAACAATCCGACAATCTTTTCATATTTGATTCAGAAGTTTGTGCGATTTTTCATTATTAGGTAATTTTGTGATAATTTTTTTTATTATACTTATTGTTTATTATGATTATTTGAAAAAATATTATACTAATTGTTGTCAATTAATTTCTGTGTTTGTAAAATTAGAAAACGGGAGCATACGTCGAAATAGTTTTGCGGTACATGTAATAATATAAAATTATATTATTTAAATTATTTACGTTTATGTGTAAAAAATTTATTGTGTTATATTTTCGTTCATATATTATTTATTTAATCAGCTTTGTTTCAGTTGTTTTTTTTTTTTTGCAGATATCATATTGTCGCACTTTTAAACTCAAAGAATGACGCGACTTTCAACTATTGTTTATTATGATGGTGAAATTTGAGAAGATGAAACCGGCGTTGTTTTCGTATGAAATGAGCGTGTTAAAATATCATTGAAGAGAAACATAACTCTTGAGGAGCTGCTAACGAAGATTTCGAGGAAGATTCATGTTGGAAGTAGTAGAAGAATGTCATCATTGCAGTACAGATTTCCAACATCATTGTTGTCATTAACTTATACATCGTTCGAACTATCGAACAATGATGATGTTGAAATGATGGTTGATTCTATCTCCATCCACCGGAAGCCCCAGGTGCATAAAAACATCCTGAAGTGTAATCGTGCACTCTCCGCACGGAAGATAGAATGTGTGGGTCTCCAGCCTCCACCGCTCTACTAAGGCAGAAACAATGTCTAGTTCTATCTTACAGTGACATTGATATCTACCTATGTAACCGAATCCAACCTGTACTAAATACGGTAAGACACGACTAGGTATCACTAACTTAAGGTTCCTAATAAAAGGATCTAATACACAACCATTCTCCTAAAATTAAATAATTACAAAAATTAATTCTTAATCTAATAATCATGCATTAAATAAATCAACAAATTATTACTAATAATTTTAATTAAATTAAAACGTTAAAATGTTACCGTATCAGCAAAGTGTTGAGATATATGATTTCCATCCAAACGAAGTAGACCGTCTTCCATTTTATATCTGTAAAAAAATTAATTAAGTAAAATATTAAATAACTTAAATACTTAAATAAATTAAATACAAAATATTAAAAATATAATAAAATATACTTATAAGAGTATTTGAAAGAAGTTGAGAGAATTTGATGTGATGAAAGTGATTGAAGATGGGGTATTTATAGGGAGGGATGAGGGTGTGAAACGTCGGGGTAGGTGGGTAATTATACCTAAGGCGTGCCGCAAGGGGCGTGCCTTACTGACACGTGGCAGATTCACAGATAAGGCGCGGCCCTTGCCCTGCGCTATACTCTACGTGGCCTAAGGCGCACCCCAGGGGCTACGCTATACACATGTGTATCCCATTACAACATAAGATCGTCTCAAGGGGCGCGCCTTATCCCACGTGACGCCAAATCAACATTAAGTGCGCTGTAGGGAGCGCGCTGCAGAGGACGCGCCTTTCTGCAAAGGGTATTAGATCGAGAAATATAATCTGAACGGTACCTGATAAAAAAAAACGATGAACGGTGATATATCGGGAGTTCAATTTCAATAATTTATCTTGAAAAATAACATTATAGTACAAGGGTGTGTGTTAGTCGTTAAATAATGTCTATTGACACGTACGGTATATAACATAAAAATATGGCCAAAAGGAAAAAGAGAGCTCTGAAGAGAAATGGGGAGCGATAGGAAGGAAAAGAGAAGTAAGAAACGATCAAATTCTTATTCTTCTGGGTCTGAAGGTTAGTTTTAATTTTCCATTGCCGGTGACTAATTTTTTATTTAATTTTCGGGGAAAAAGCTAGAACCCTAATTTAAATTGCTTAGCGTTTCAAGCAAGATTGATTTGAAATTAATTTAGCTTAACGAAAGTTTTGGTCTTTTATGTGTGGTTTACTGTAAAACTGCAGATGAAGGAAGGGAAAAAAGGCAAAGGAGAGGCGAGGACGAGCAGAGGAAAAGCAGGAAGAAGGATGATAAGAAAGAGAAAAGGAAAGACAAGAAATCTCACAAGCACTCTTCCGATAAAGGTTTTAATTTTAAGCTTATAAGTTCATTGTTATTTCTCCTTTTTATTTTGTTTGAAGTTATCGAGTCTTTGTTGAAATTTCGAGAACGGCAAAGGGATACTTAAGATTTTATTAACTTAGATAGCTCTATATTGCTGTCTGTTTTATCAACTGATGAGCATTTGTGAACTTAAGATTTTGAAATTTGTGGAACAGAAAAGCGATACTTAGGAGGGGAAAATTGAAGGAACAATATGTATTCCATTGTGAATTGAGGTGTTTATATGTCTGTTTTAATGAGCTTCTAGTAGCTATTATTTTACTTTATGTGTCGGATGGTTCAGTTTTCTGCTTTTATGGTTGTAGGATTTGTGGAGATTCTTTGTAATGAGAGTGGTAGATATCCCCCGGTGTTTCTAAAATTCTACTTCTATTGAGATAGCAATACACGTGCAAATACTCACTAGTTAGTCACCGAAATAGTTTCTTAAAACTTCGGTTGTGAAACTGTTGATAACTTGATATATTAACTATATTTACTCTTAAGATGGCTTGATAGATCTGTTCATCTGCATTATTTTTTTTACATGCTTTTTGGAGTCTATGCTTGTGCCTGCTGAGAGTTGGATAATATATGATTAGTGAAGTACTCAGAGTTGAGAGAGTATGGATAGATATAGTGCTACTTAAAAGAAAAGTACGCTAACCAAAATTTTTGACTTTTTGTTAGATTCATGAATTGAAGTGTAAGTTAACAACAAGAAACAACCATAGTAATATAATTCCAGTGCTTGAATTTGAAAATTAGTTTTTACTTGTACTCTTTTATAGTTATATATATAAGTTATAAAATTCTGATAAATTTATTATTTGAGAATTGTATTGAATATCCAACATCTCTTTATTATATCTGAAGGTTTAAGGTCTTTTTGTTGGATTTCTTAATACCACTTGTTTGGGATATGCTTTTGGTATAATTCTAGAAAACTACAATTTCCACATTCTGTGTCTCCTGCTTTTTGCAAAATAGTTATAACACGTTGATTTACTTTGTTTGACTCAGAGAAGAAGTCAAAGGAAAAACACAAAAGTAAACATCACAAAGGTGACCGCCACTCGGTGAGTCTTCTTATTCTGCTTTGTAGAAATCAACCTGCATATCTAATTGTAAGTCATAGTTTCCTTTAACTGATGTTTCTAAGAATTAGGTTACTTCTTGAGGCACATGATGTGAAATTGGACGTGGAATGCAGTCTTTATAGCTTGGAAGTATTGGTGTAATAGTTCATAGCTTTTTTTTTGGGGGGGGGGGGGGGTGAGGGGAGATTCTTGTGTTCATTTTTTTCAAAACAAGGTCCATAGTCTCTATTAAAGCATTGAGAATTCTGATGAACATTTATGATTTTGGAGTATTTGCCTTCCGCTTTTTTTTTTTTTTTTGGATAATTGCCTTCCGTTTTTGAGGGATATTGAAAGCACAGATTCTGTGAACTTATAAGGAATTCTGGTAGGTTTGAAATGGTGGATACTTTGAAATCAGCTCACTCACTGGATGTCTTGTTAGTTCTGTTTTGTCATATGTGTTATTGTGTTGTGCTGCTAGTTCATACCTTCCCCGGGTAAATCGAGAAACATATCTTATTGACTGAGATAACTCTACATTGTAGCCTGTTTTATTTTGCTTTGTTGAAATATGTTGGCAAAATGACATTAGTTGCCGAACTTTAAAGTGCAAATTTGCCTTCTCATCAGTGAACTTTTGGGTTTCACATGTTTCATTTATCATACTTGTCATCTTTATTTCATTGGTCCTAAGTGTGCATATAGTTTAACTTGTTGTACAAGAATGATGTAATCATGTTACAATACCCCTTTAAGAATGTACAAAAATATTTTATACATGTACAACAATGACAAAAGAAATAAGTTATCAACTTGGGGTTAAAATTTTCATTCAACCTTTCCACTTTTCTTATATATTGGATTCATGCGGTTTGGCTATTAAATATGAAACCAAGCGGTGTTGAGTTCAACTTTTGAAATCTTAGAATGACAACTAGGCAGACACACACGAGTCTCTAAGCCCTATATATCATTTGACTGCCTGTGCAGTTGGTGGTGGTTGTGTTTAAAATGTCATTTTAAACACACGCAGGGTTTACGTGAAATTTGTAATTTGCTGATGTTCTTGTCTCCATTCCTGCAGAAACATGGGTTCCAAGAGATCTCCAGTGATGACTATTTTTCAAAGAACAATGAGTTTGCTACGTGGCTGAAAGAAGAGAAACGTGTGTTTTTCTCTGATCTTTCGTCTGAGTCTGCTCGGGAATTTTTTGCCGACTTTGTTAAAGATTGGAATAACCAGAAACTTGAATCTGAATTCTATGAAGGCATTGCAAGTGGGCCACGGACTGCACATAACTGGAAAATTAGACAGTAGGAAGGGAAGTGATCCCTACTTTTTGTTTATTTTTCTCACTCCTTTTATATGTACGGATTTGCAGTGTAGTATCGGATAAATGTTGTAGTTTATGGACGTGCAGCAAAAGAAATATATTTGATATTTTGCTCAGTTATCCCATGGAAAATGGTAGTATGGAAAAGAAGCTATTTTATCCTGCATTGTGCAATATACACATCACATTGATGCGCTCCCCCTCTTAATCAGTTAAGAAACCACATGATGATATTAAAGCTCCAAGACCTTGTCTCCCTTGGCTTTGCTGGGTAATCAGTCGACGTGAGAGATGTACTCACTAGAGAAGCAGTAAACAGATTGCTTACTGGGGGCTTGGGAGAAGGTGGCAGCCATGGCCAATGGATACCCCACATTTCTCCTTTTTCATTTTCAGAATTCTATATATTTTGTGAACTTTTTTTCTAACATTATAATCCTATTTCAGATGCAGATTTTGCCTAGAAAGGTTTTCATTGTATGGACGTTGAAATGATTGCCTCTTTTGTACATTAAAAAATGGAACATACATTACATTTTTAAAAAATATAATTACTTAAATGTCAAGCTCCCTTGTTTAAGAATATTATAAAAATAAAATGTTATCTACAACAAATATTCAATGTTAGAATAAGCTGGTACTCGCGAATATCTCTGAAAGTTAATAGGATTGTAGTTTCTAAAAACACCTAATATGCTCTCGCCTGTGAACCCTAGTGTGTGTCCGTCTATAGAGCATACTGTTGACCACAACGATCGTCCGCCGGAAGAGATCAATCAGATCTCCAGTGTTTCGGCACTGGAGAGACCGGGGTCCCTGCTGGAAGAGTCATGAAACGCTAAAAACAGCGGAATGTAGAGGAGATTAATCAGACTCTGCTTGTAGAGGAAGTCATAGCGATCGAGGCCGATGGAGGAGATATGGTTGGAGGAGAGGGTGAGATACTTGCTAGCCCCAGTTCATCTCTTTGGCGTTCGAATGAGGAGAGACCATCATATGCCAACATGGTAGTGGGCATCAGCAAGGAAACTCCGTCACTTATTATAGCACAGGAAACTGATTCTATTGTTGTGCGTGACGAGGATTGCAGTATTGATAGTTCAGGTCCTATCACCAAGATAAGTTTTTCAGAGCGTGTGCATGACCAAATTAACCAATGTATGAAGCAGGTGCTCATCATCCGTCTGCTGGATAGATCGATGGGGTGTAAAACATTATTAACTAGAGTTCTCACACTATGGAAACTGAAGGGGGAACTACAGCTAGTGGATATGGAGAATAACTATTATCTGGCAATATTTACTGTTGAGGAGAATTATGTCAAGGTATTAACCGAAGGTCCTTAGACAATTTATGGTAGTTATTTAACAGTTCAGCCTTGGAGCCGCTCATTCTCGGCCTCGGAAAAGCACCCTTCACAGGTTCGATGTTGGGTAAAACGGGTTATTTCCCACACGAACGTAGTTTTAAAATTGACCTAAAATGTCAAGATTAAAACCACCAAAAGTTGCACAGCGGATAAATCTGTCAAACTATTGAATATTGAAATATAATGGAAAAGAATCGAATAAAAAACAATAAAGGAGAGAACACACCAAATTTACGATGTTCGACGAGAATATCGTCTACTCCTCGGGCACCACACCAGATGATAACTTCACTATATTGCCAATATTACAACAAATGGAATTCTTTGGAATTCCCAAAGTGGGAGAATGAAGAATACAAGAGGAAGAGAGAACTTGTTTTTGGGATGTTTTCTAATGAAAATACTTAGACCTATTTATAGTTGAGTTTCAAGAACAATATGTTCAAAGTTTGGCCACCTACCAAAGAATTTTCCAATGTGTACAAGTTAGCCACCAAATATGAAATTCACATGTTCAAAGTTTGGCCACCAACTAAGATGAAATTTCCAATAAGTTGGCCACCAACCAAGATGAAATTTCCAACTTGTCAACTTAATTTCTAGACAAATCTAACAAATCTCCACCTTGACTTGAAATTACCAAGCCTACTCAACTTCTTCAACTCCCCAAATTTGTAGTGCCTCTAATTGCGCTCACAAGCGCCACACACCCGAAGGTGTTCATACTTTCAGGATGTTAATCAAGTTCAAACAATGATTGAACTTGATTACTGTTACCACCTTGGTCATCATATCTGCAGGATTTTCTGATGTCGCAATTTTCTGAAGTAAAATCTTTCCTTCTTCAAAGATCTCCCGCACAAAGTGATACCTCACGTCGATATGCTTAGTCCTTGAATGGTAGACTTGATTTTTCGCTAAGTGAATAGCACTCTGACTGTCACAATAGAGACTAATGTGACTTTGAACAACTCCCAAGTCTTCTATCAACCCGTTAAGCCAAATTGCTTCCTTTACAGCCTCTGAAACTGCCATGTATTCTACCTCTGTAGTAGACAAGACCACCGTAGATTGCAATGTAGACTTCCAACTTACTGGGGCTTTAGCAAGAGTAAACAAATACCCAGTAGTTGATCGACGCTTATCCAAATCACCAGCATAATCGGAATCAACATATCCAACCATACACTGACCAAGTGCTTCATCCTGTTCAAAAACTAAACCAACATCCACAGTTTGTTGGAGATACCGTAGAATCCATTTCACAGCTTGCCAATGTCCTTCTCCAGGATCATGCATATACATGCTCACAACTCCAACTGCTTGTGAAATGTCAGGACGCATATACACCATTGCATACATCAAGCTCCCAACTGCATTAACATATGGAACTTTTGCCATATACACTCGTTCTCCGTTAGTTTTAGGAGATAATTGAGAACTAAGTTTCAAATGAGAAGCCAATGGGATACTTACATGTTTGGTATTTTCATTCATGCCAAAACATTGTAATACCTTTCTCAGATACTGCTTCTATGTTAAACAAAGTTTCCCTCTTTGTCTATCTCTGCTTATCTCCATACCAAGAATCTTCTTGGCCTCACCTAGATCTTTCATCTCAAACTCTTGATTCAACTGAGCCTTTAATTTGTCTATCTCCTTTTGACTCTTCGAAGCGATCAACATATCGTCAACGTACAAGAGAAGATAAATGAAAGATCCATCTTTGAGCTTTTGCAAATACACACAATGATCATATTTGCTTCTAGTATACTTTTGCCTCCTCATAAAGCTATCAAATCGCTTGTACCACTGCCTCGGAGATTGCTTCAATCCATATAGCGATTTGTTTAGCTTACAAACCGATTTCTCACAACCACTATCTTTGTATCCTTCTGGCTGAGTCATATAGATCTTCTCTTCTAAATCACCGTGGAAGAAAGCCGTCTTTACATCAAGTTGAACTAGCTCCAAATTCAACTGTGCTACCAAGGCCAACAATATTCTAATGGAGGAATGCTTCACAACAGGGGAAAATACTTCATTGTAGTCGATTCCCTCCTTTTGAGCGTAGCCTTTAGCTACCAACCGTGCCTTGTAGCGAACATCTTTCTTGCTATGAGATCCATCTTTCTTTGCAAATACCCACTTACATCCAATGGCTCTTTTACCTTTCGGTAATTGTTCCAGTTTCCAAGTGTTGTTCTTTTGGAGAGATTGCATTTCTTCATCCATGACACTTTTCCACTTATCACTTTCCAAGCTTTGTATTGCTTCTTGGTAAGTGATAGGGATATCATCATCAACAACTGGAAGAGCATAGGCCACCATATCAACAAATCGAGCAGGTCTACGAATTTCTCTCATTGGCCTTGTAACTGCAAGTGGTTCTGGTGTCTCAAATGGTTCTTGGGTTTGAACCTCTTCATCTTCTGATTCTTCTATTGGAGTTGAAGAATCAGTTGCATCAACTTCTGGGATCATCATCTGCTGAAACTCTACCTGTTTTGGAGTATGCTCCACCTGCTGCGGAGTACTACTTGTCTGGACAGCTTCACTTGTTACCTTCTTTACTAGGGCAGATTCATCAAAGGTAACATCTCTGCTACAAATTATCTTCTTGGTGTCTAAACACCAAAGGCGGAATCCCTTCACTCCATGGGTGATTCCCATAAAGAGAGCCTTCTTTGCTCTCGGATCAAGCTTGGATTCCTTCACATGATAATAAGCAGTGGATCCAAATACATGTAAGGAATCATAATCAGTAGCAGGTTTTCCAGACCATACCTCCAATGGTGTTTTTCCTCCTATCGCTGATGACGGCAGACGATTAATGAGATGGCCAGCATATGTCACAGCCTCAGCCCAAAATGCCTTGCCTAACCCAGCATTAGACAACATACATCGAACTTTCTTCAATAGTGTTCGATTCATACGCTCTGCCACCCCATTCTGTTGTGGTGTATGTCTAACAGTGAAGTGTCGAACAATACCATACTCATGGAAAACGTCAAAGAATGACTCACTTTTATATTCCCCTCCATTGTCCGTCCTAAGACGTTTGATCTTTCTACCAGTCTGGTTCTCGATCATATTTTTCCATTTCAGGAAAATTTGAAGCAATTTATCTTTAGACTTCATCGGATACACCCAAACTCTTCTGGAAAAGTCATCTACAAAAGTTACAAAATAATGGTTTCCTCCCAAAGACGATGTCTTTGAAGGACCCCATACATCTGAGTGAATATAATCTACAATACCTTTTGTATTATGTATAGTGGTGCCAAACTTCACTTTCTTCTGCTTTCCCAGAACACAATGCTCGTAAAAGTTCAATTTGCAAGCCTTTGCACCTTTCAACAATCATTTCTTTGCCAGAATTTGCAAGGATTTCTCTCCAGCATGTCCCAACCGCATATGCCACAAATGGGTTGCGTCTAAATCATCACCTCCGGAAGCTGCTGCAACTGCTCCAATAATTGTACTACCTTGGTAGTAATACAAATTATTTTTCCTGATGCCCTTCATCATCACAAGTGCGCCATATGTGACTTTTAAAACTCCATCTCTCATAGTGACTACTGAGCCTTTGGATTCTAAGGCTCCCAACGAGATGAGATTTTTCTTCAAACTGGGCACGTATCGGACATCCGTCAGAACTCTGGTTGATCCATCTTGATTCTTCAATCGAATTGAACCTATCCCAACAGTTTTACAGGCATTGTCATTGCCTATATAAACAACTCCTGCATTTAGTTCCACTAAATCGGAGAACCACTCCCGATTAGGGGACATATGATAGGTGCAACCCGAATCTAATATCCATTCATCTGAATGAAATGTTGTTGATGAAGCAACCAATGATATGTCAGAGTCATTTGCATCATGCTCTGCAACACATGCATCTGGAGCAGCTTTTCCTTTCTTCTTCAACTTCGGACAATCTTTCTTTCAATGGCCTTTCTCATGACAAAAGGCACATTCATCTTTTTCCAGTCTGGACTTCGACTTTGATCTCCCTCTCCACTTTGGCTTTTGACTTTTCGAGCGACCTCTTACCACCATGGCCTCCGCTGCTTCGTACTTGCTTTCCTTCTTAGTTTTCTTCCTGAGCTCATAACTATACAAAGCAACAGTTACATCTTTAAGGGTAACATTATCCTTACCATGAAGTAACGTTGTCTCAAGGTGCTCAAATTCATCTGGAAGAGATGACAACAACATCAAGGCCAAATCCTCATCTTTGAAGGTTTCATCCATGCCCAATAAGTCTGCCACTAGTTCATTGAACGCAGTGATGTGTTCATTCATACTGGTGACTGGTTGATAATCAAATCTGAACAATCTTTTCTTCATGTGGAGACGATTCTGAGAGCTTTTCTTTAGGAATTTTTCCTTTAATGCTTTCCACATCTTACTTGCAGAAGTCTCGTTCTTATAGCCATACTTCTGCTCCCTGGAAAGACAAGATCGAATCGTGCTGCACGCCAAACGATTGATTGTTCCCCATTTTTTCTCCTCCATATATTCGGGCTTTTCTTCCTCAATGACGATGTCTAGACCTTGTTGGAATAAAGAGTCTAACACCTCGCCTTGCCACATGCCAAAATGATCGGATCCATCGAACAACTCCACCGAGAAATTTGCATTTGACATCACCCTCCTCACCGGTCCAGATGAAGAGCTTGATGTCTCAACTGATCCGTATTTTGGCATTTTAATTCTAACGAACAATATTCAATATCACGAACTGTATCTTTTCAGCAACGGAACCACCAGGATAACCTCAACAGAAGCTCTGATACCAATTGTTGGGGAAAACGGGTTATTTCCCACACGAACGTAGTTTTAAAATTGACCTAAAATGTCAAGATTAAAACCACCAAAAGTTGCACAGCGGATAAACCTGTCAAACTATTGAATATTGAAACACAATGGAAAAGAATCGAATAAAAAACAATAAAGGAGAGAACACACCAAATTTACGAGGTTCGACGAGAATATCGTCTACTCCTCGGGCACTACACCGGATGATAACTTCACTATATCGCCAATATTACAACAAATGGAATTCTTTGGAATTCCCAAAGTGGGAGAATGAAGAATACAAGAGGAAGAGAGAACTTGTTTTTGGAATGTTTTCTAATGAAAATACTTAGTCCTATTTATAGTTGAGTTTCAAGAACAATATGTTCAAAGTTTGGCCACCTACCAAAGAATTTTCCAATGTGTACAAGTTAGCCACCAAATATGAAATTCACATGTTCAAAGTTTGGCCACCAACTAAGATGAAATTTCCAATAAGTTGGCCACCAACCAAGATGAAATTTCCAACTTGTCAACTTAATTTCTAGACAAATCTAACAATCGATACTATTGGAAGGCGTTATTTCGACGCATTGCTGAAGCAGTAGGGAGAGTTGTGAAGATTGATTATAATACTCAAGCAGGAGGGTGCGGCAAATTTACTCTTCTGGTAATCATTGCGGATTTAAACAAACCTCTAAAATCTTGCATTGGAATAGATAACTTCATACAACAGCTTGAATACGAAGGTTTGAACAATATTTGTTTTACGTGTGGCACGAATGGCCATTCAAGTGAAGTACGTGGTAAATCGAAAGGAACCTCTATGGAAGCAGAAGCGGAGATTCATAGTGTGGATACTAGAAAAGGTCCATCTTTGGAGGCGAAGGGAGAGGAGTTATATGGTCCCTGGATGGTGGTGAAGAAGCGAAAGCGTAAACCAAGGGTTGAAGGTTCTGATAAGTCGAAAGTGGCAAGCACACAGAAGGGAGTAAGCAATTCTCGTTTTGCAATATTAACATAATTACAAGGGGAAGAAGAGCAAGGAGTTCAAGGTACTATTGCATCTGATGCTAAGAAAACTGGTAGGGATAAAAAGGACCAGAAAAGAAAGCAAACGGTCATAGATGGAAATAATGGAGAAATTCAAGCAGGTTACACACTCAATAATGCTTACATAGCTTCTAACCCGGGAAAAAAAGAAGAAGACAGCTGATGAGAACATAAAAGTAATTAATATCTTACCGACACAGGAGGGACAGCCCACAAGGGCAAGAATGCATGCAATCAATCACGTGCAGGGTGAACATAGGGCAGTTTCCATTAAGGAACAAGGTCAAGGCAGTAACAACAACTCAGGCGTTAGGATAAGGTCTTCCCAAAAAATTATCTCCAAACCGATTCAAGAGAGCCAAGAAAGGAATGTTCACTGGCAAGGAGGAAGTTGACCCAGGTCCGACAGCCAAAGAATGGCTGGAGATGTTTTCACACCAACTGGAGGAACTTAATAACGTGCAAGATCCGGATATACAGGCTCAAATTAAAACTCCGCTTTTTGAAGTGGGACTCTTAAGTGAGGATGAAGCGATGAAAGTATCTGACACGGAGGGTAAGCTAAGTAACCGGGTTCACACGTGATTCTTGGTGCTCCTTTAATCCTTTAATTATTTTAATGATTTGTATGTTTTGGAATTGCCAAGAAGCGGTTAGCCCTACTTTCCACAGAATTTTTCAGAATTTTGTACAGGAACATCGGCCCAATATAGTTGCGCTTCTGGAACCTCGGATTAGTGGTACAAAAGCAGATAAAGTGGTGGCTAAGTTGAATTATTCACACTCATTCCGGGTCGAGACACATGGCTATAGCGGTGGGATTTGGGTGTTGTGGAACGACACTACTGAATTGGAAGTGCTATCAATCTCGAATCACTTTCCGCATGGTCGGGTAAATTAGTCGATAATCAGGTTGCCTTCACAATCACAGTGGTATATGCATGCCCTAATCGTTCTTAACGAAAATTCTTGTGGTCCTCGTTACGCTCTCTTGATCCTGGAGATAATGAGTTGTGGATGTTAGGTGGGGATTTCAACTTGATTATTTGCATGGAAGAAAGATCTAGGGGATCACGAAGACATGGCCGAGTCAATACCTAGTTTAGAGAATTTATTAATACGACAAGTCTGATAGATTTGAATTTTCACGGACCACCGTTTACTTGGACGAGAGGTAGTCTCAGTCAGCGGTTGGATAGGTACTTAGCTAACAGAGATCTTCATGGTTTGTGGCCGAACGCCCGAGTTATGCACCTCGATAGGCTAGGATCAGACTATAGACCTATTCTGTTCTGCAGTAATATTGTGGAAAATACGAATCACGACAAGCCTTTCCGATTCATTGCAGCCTGAAATGATCATCCGCAATTTATTGAATTCCTGAAGTTAGTGTGGAAGGAAGAAAGAAATTTCAATGAAAATCTACAGGATTTTTAAAATTAAAGTTAAAGAGTGGAACAAAGATGTTTTCGGACACATAGGCAAGAAGAAGAAAGCATTACTTGTTCGAATTAGGGGAATTGAGAAAGCTTTGAATTTGTACCACTCAGACTATCTCAGTGATTTGGAAAGTAAATTACGGGAAGAGCTGGATGTTGTTTTAGAGCAAGAAGAAAGCTTTTGGCGTCAAAAAGCGTGTTCGAATTGGGTTATTCACGGTGATCGTAACTCTAGATTTTTCCATGCATCGGTTATGGCCAAAAGACGAAGGAACAAGATAACTGCCTTTAAATTGAAGAATGACGATTGGTGCTCTGAGGAGGATGAACTTCAGGAGCTGATAGTCAATTTTTTTCAGGAATCTATTTCGAAATGAAGGAGGAGCAAATTCTAACTATCCGAGCGGGTTGTTTCCAAAAGTTTCAGGTGATCATCTTCAAGAGCTTGAGCGACCCCTCATGGATAAAGAAGTAAAACTTGCTTTTGATATGATGGCTCCGTTTAAATCACCGGGGTTGATTGAATCCATGCCGCGTTCTATCAGCGGAATTGGGCTGTTGTGGGAAAATCAACTTGTGACTACTTACGCAGAATTTTCGAAAGGGATATGTAGAATGACGAGATGAATAGAACCATTTTGGTGTTGATACCGAAAGTGTCGATTCCGGAATCAATTACTCAATATCAACTAATAGGACTCTGCACTGTTATCTACAAGGCTTTAACGAAATTGTCAATAGGCTTGTTAGGTATGGCTCATAAATATACCAGTAAAGAGGACAGGAGATGGAGCGGAGTGAGCGAATGCAGTGAACATCAACTGTCCTTACAAAGAAAGTCTCGTTGTGGGGTTACAAATTATGTGGGTTGAGGGTGCGGGGGCGTAGCCCCCGCGGTACGGTACATGGTTAATTTTGTAATTATGTACCAGGGTTTTCTATTATAAATAGAGATATAACCTAGACCTAAAAAATCATTGAATAAAACTTCTAGCGCCGCCTAGGCACCGAGGACGTAAGCACATTGCCGAACCTCGTAAAATTCTCGTGTTCTTTCGTTTTCTTTACCCGTTTTCGTCAACAAGGCTAAAGTCGTATCTTCCTATTTGTCCCAGGAAGGTCGATCAAAAATATCATTATTATTACAAAGGAGGTTATTCACTCAATGAAGTAGAAATCGAGTGGCAGGGAGTGGATGGCCATGAAAATTGACTTGGAAAAGGTCTACAATCGGCTTGAATGGATTTTATTGAGAACATACTTCAGGATCTGGGTATTCCTGAATCCTTGTTTAGAGTGATCATATGATGTATTTCGTCGGTTTCTACTAGCATCTTGTGGAATGGAAGACCGACGAGGTCATTCTCGCCTTCTAGAAGGATTTGCCAAGGTGATCCACTATCCCCTTATATCTTCATTCTTTGTATGGAACGTTTGGCGCAATCAATTGAGAGGAAACATTGGATTCCGTTTTGCACGTCGACTACTGGTGTTGGGATTTCCCATCTTTTCTTCGCTGACGATATGCTCCTCTTTTCGGAAGCTTCACCGACACAAGGAGATATCATCCATAATGTTCTGACTCAATTCGGCAAGGCCTCTGGTCAAAGAGTGAGTATTGTAAAATCAACGATATTTTTTTTCGAGGAATGCACCAATGATTACTCGTAATCAAATCAGTGGAAGCAATCCATGAACACACAATTTACTCATCCATCAACTGGATAGCCTTATCAAATAGTGATTCCTTTTCAACATCTAGTACCAAACTTTATCTCCCACAGTGTGTCCCAATGAATACTTTTAGGGAAGAGAGTGATATCTAATTAATTTGTTTATTTCATGCATGGAATTTTCACATAAAATAGCAAAGTGAAAAACACAAGGATCATGTAAGTAGTAGCATTTAGGAAATCCTAAAATGAGGAAGGACTAGTCGGCCATCTCTTCCATTCAACCTGAAATAAGAAACATAATGGTGGAAGCTCGTTTCTCTATAAATGGGTGGATTCTCGTCCGATAAAAGTTCTTCGGCTGCTTCATATGGTTTATCTCTAAGAGCATGTGTAGGAGCAAAGAAACATGCGGCTGAGATTCTTGGACCCACTCTTCCGGCTAATACTCTATGTGTTACACTTTTGAACTTGTCGTTTGATACAATCTGCAAAAAGCATATTCTATTCAATATATATATATATATGTGCTAATCTTTAGAAACCCACCTTCCATTTCAATGAATATATACCTGCAAAAAGTCACCAATATTGGCAGTTAAATATCTATGGTGATGAGGCACATCAACCCACTGATTCTGATGAACAATTTGGAGTATATTATCTTCCAAAAGTACAGTTAAAAACGATGCATCAGTATGGCTGGACGTGCCTAAGGTCAACTCAGGCTAAGGACATGGTGGATGATAATGGCACGCAATAAGAGCACCTTTCATCCCTTCAATGCTTCCCAAGTAATCTCTCCTCAGCCCTAATGCCTCGGATCATAAACTTGATCCATTATGGGAGCCTAAACCCAAACCCAAACTAAGTTCATGTTATTGCTTACATCAATTAGGTGAAGATGTCATTTCTTACATCAATTTAGTTAATTGAGAGTTAGGCATATCTCATTTTTTTAATGGTTTATTTGTGTAGTGTAGGATTGTTCTTAAGTAGTATAAATACCCCTCCCCATTTTAGTTTAAGCATCAAGAAAAATTAAGAGCTTCTAAGTGAGTGAAGAAACAAAATCCTATAAGAGTGAGTTGTAGTTCTTGTTTTTGAATGAGAGTACTCTTGTAATATTTGTTTTAGTTTAAATAAAAGTTGTTTATGTGAGTGTTTCATTTCCAATAAAGTGGCATTAGAGTGAGTTGGAAAGATCGAAGGTCTCGACGAGAGGAATCTGAGATCGAAGGTCTCGACGAGAGGAATCTGTCGCCGCCAGAATTTTCTCAATCTGAGTTCTGACGCACCGCCACGCACCACCAGAAGACTGCTGCCAAAAAATCGAGTTGACTCACCGAGTTGAGTCGAGTCAGCCGAGTTGGAGCCCCTTGACCGAGTTGTCCAAGTCCCTCCCAAGGTTTTTCGGCATTCCGGATTCATCAGTGCAATTGGATTTTCCAAATTCTCATTATATTGAGAGATATGGCAAGTGGTATGACACCATTCCAAGTTCCGACACTCAATAACAACAACTACAACAATTGGAGTATCAAAATGAAGGCACTTCTTGGATCACAAGATGTGTGGGATATCATAGAGAAAGACTATAACGAGCCTGCGGATGATGATGCTTTTGCTACTCTTACACCAGATCAAAAGACAACTTTGAAGGACTCAAGAAATAGAGACAAGAAGGTTCTCTACCTCATCTATCAAGCATTAGATGATGATGGTTTTGAAAAGATTTCGAGTGCAAGCTCTAGCAAGGAAGCATGGGAGAAGCTTCAAACCTCTTACAAAGGATCCGAGCAAGTGAAGAAGTCTCCAAACATTAAGAGGTGAATTCGAATCCTTACACATGAAAGTATATGAGTCTATTTTAGATTATTTCTCAAGAGTAATAGTTGTTTCTAATCAATTAAAAAGAAATGGTGAAAAGTTAGAAGATGTGAGGATAATAGAGAAGATACTCCGTTCGTTGGATCCCAAATTTGAGCACATCGTCGTGACGATTGAAGAAACTAAAGACTTGGAAGAAATGACGATCGAGAAACTCCAATGATTATTGCAAGCATACGAAGAGAAGAATAAGAATAAGCATGGGTTTATTGAGTAACTCCTCAAGCTGCAACTCAAGGATATGCATGAAAGCCAACGCAATGATAGAAACCAACGTGGCCTAGGCGGAGGTAGAGGTCATGGACGAGGTGAAAGTCGAGGTCGTGGACGAAGCTGGAATTACAACAACAACAATTCCAAAAACAACTATGAGAAAGGAGAAACCTCAACACGAAGCCGTGGAAAAATCAACCCGAACTCAAAGTATGACAAATCTCAAGTTCGATGTTATAATTTTCAGAAGTTTGGGCATTATGCTTCATAATGTAGAGCTCCCAAAAACAAAATTGAGGAGAAGGTCAACTACGTGGAGGAAAAGACAGATGAAAAAAAGCTATTCTTCTAGAACGAAAGGAAACTGATGGTGGCCAAGCAAATTCCTGGTATCTTGACAGTGGTGCAAGCAATCGCATGTGTGGAAGGAAAGATATGTTCGTGGAGCTAGACGAGTCAGTAAGCGAAAATGTTTCGTTTGGAGATGATTCCACAATAGCAGTGAAAGGGAGAGGTAACGTTCTTATCCGTTTGAAATATGGGAGACATCAATTTATTTCAAATGTCTACTATGTGCACAATATGAAAAGTAACATCTTAAGTTTAGGGCAACTGGTAGAAAAAGGTTATGATATTCATATGAATAATTATAATCTTTATATAAAAGATGATAAGAATAACTTCATTGCTAAAGTGCCGATGTCAAAGAATAGAATGTTATTGATCAACATACAAAATGATGTTGCAAAGTGCCTAAAAGCTTGCTACAAAGATGCATCATGGCTTTAGCATCTTCGATTTGGGCATCTCAATTTTGGAGGTCTAAAGCTGCTATCTAAGAAGGAGATGATGAAGGGACTACCTCATATAAACCATCCTTACCAGCTTTGTGAAGGGTGTCTAGTCGGAAAATAATTCAGGAAAATCTTTCTAAAGGAGTCAGAGACAAGAGCCAAAAAATCACTTGAGCTCATCCACACCGATGTGTGTGAACCGATAAAGCCAAGTTCTCTCGGTAACAATAACTATTTTCTTCTCTTCATTGATGATTCTTCAAGAAAAACCTGGGTGTATTTCTTGAAACAAAAGTCAGAAGTTTTTGAAGTCTTCAAGAAGTTCAAAGCAGCAGTGGAGAGAGAAAACGGTAGAAAGATCAAAGCCATGAGATCCGACTAAGGTAGAGAATTTACTTCCAGTGATTTTCAAGAGTTCTGTGAAGCAAATGGAATTTGTCGACCAATGACAATTCCTAGATCCCCCCAACAAAATGGTGTGGCAGAAAGAAAGAACAGAACAATCCTTGAAATGGCACGAAACATGCTCAAAAGCAAGAAACTACCCAAGGAATTTTGGGCGGAAGCAGTAGCGTGTGCAGTCTACTTGATAAATCGATCTCCAACAAGAAGTGTATGGGGAAAGACACCGCAAGAGGCATGGAGTGGAAGAAAGTCTGGCATTTCCCACTTGAGAATCTTTGGAAGTATAACCCACGTTCACGTACCGAACGAGAGAAGAACGAAACTTGATGATAAAAGCGAGAGTTTTATCTTCATCGCCTATGATGCAAATTCGAAGGGCTATAAGCTGTATAATCCAGACAATAAGAATATTGTGATTAGTCGAGATGTGGTTATCAATGAAGAAGTAGAATGGAATTTTAACTCTCATGCAGATGACTTCAATTTCTTTCCTCAGATTGAAGAAAATGAGCAGACAATGAGGGAACTACTAGGTGAACCTCAACAAGAGCTTGAAACCCCACCCACTTCACCAACATCAACCACTCAAGGAGGCTCATCACCTTCGTCATCGTCAAGTAGGAGTCAAAGTGAAAGAGTTGTGCAACGTGCAAGAAGCCTTAGAGATCTTTATGTGGTAACTGAACGACAAGATAATATTACATTATTTTGTCTGTTTGTCGATTGTGAACCAGTGAGCTTTCAAGAAGCAATACAAGAAAAGAAATGGAGAGATGCGATGGACGAAGAAATCAAGGTCATCGAGAAGAATGACACATGAGAACTTACCTCACTTCCTAAGGAACATAAGGCGATAGGTGTCAAATGGGTTTACAAAACAAAGCAAAATGCCTAAGGAGAGATTGAAAGGCATAAGGCGAGGCTAGTTGCTAAAGGCTATAGTCAAAAGGCTGGAATTGACTATGATGAGGTATTTGCTCCTGTTGCTCGATTAGAGACTATCAGACTAATCATTTCTTTGGCAGCTCAAAACAAGTGGAAGATACAACATATGGATGTAAAGTCTGCTTTCCTAAATGGAGTTCTTGAAGAGGAAGTCTACATTCAGCAACCATCAGGCTACGAAGTCAAAGGGCACGAAGACAAGGTGTTGAAGTTGAAGAAGGCTCTTTACGGCTAAAACAAGCACCAAGGGCATGGAATAGCCGAATAGTCGACAAGTACTTCCAAGAGAATGACTTCAACAAATGTCCCTACGACCATGCTCTATATATCAAGATCAAAGATGGAGATATTTTGATCGTGTGCCTCTACATGGACGATTCGATCTTCACCAGAAGCAACCCAAGGATGTATAATGAATGCATGGATGTGTTGATGAAGGAATTCGAGATGACAAACATGGGGCTTATGGCGTACTACCTTGGCATTGAAGTTAAGCAACAAAAGGATGGAATTTTCATTTCACAGGGAAGTTATGCAAAGAAGATACTGAAGAAGTTCAAGATGGAGAGCTGTAAGCCAATAAGCACACCGACAGAATATGGGATCAAGATGTCCAAACATGAAGAAGGCGAAAATATAGATCTAACATTCTTCAAAAGTTTGGTGGGAAGTCTACGCTATCTAACTTGCACGAGGCCCGATATTCTTCACGCAGTTGAATTGATTAGTCGCTACATGGAATCTCCAACAACCACCCATTTTAAAGACGCAAAGAGAATTCTTCGCTATCTGAAAGGTACAATTGACTTTGGCTTGTTCTATTTAGTTTCTAATGATTACAAGCTTGTTGGATATAGGGACAGTGATTGGGGTGGAGACATAGATAATCTAAGGAGCACTACGAGATTCGTATTTTTCATGGGAGATACTGCTTTCACATGGATGTCAAAGAAATAACCGATTGTCACATTGTCCACTTGTGAAGCGGAATATGTTGTTACTACCTCATGCGTTTGTCATGCAATTTGGCTTAGAAATCTATTGAAGGAGATAGGTTTGATACAAGAAGAGCCTACCAAGGTTTGTGTCGACAACAAGTCATTCATTGCCTTAGCAAAGAATCCAGTATTCCATGATCGAAGTAAGCACATCGATATTCGCTACCACTATATAAGGGAGTGTATTGCAAGAAACAATGTGGAAGTTGAATACATGAAGTCACAAGATCAAGTTACCGTTTTTACCAAGCCACTGACAAGCGAAGACTTCATAAGATTAAGGAACTTACTAGGGGTCACAAGATCAAGTTTAAGGGAGGGTGTTGGATCATAAACTTGATCCATTATGGGAGCCTAAACCCAAACCCAAACTAAGTTGATGTCATTGCTTACATCAATTAGGTGAAGATGTCATTGCGTACATCAATTTAGTTAGGTGAGAGTTAGGCATGTCTCATTTTTAATGGTTTATTTGTGTGGTGTATGATTGTTCTTAAGTAGTATAAATACCTCTCCCCATTTTAGTTTAAGCATCAAGAAAAATTAAGAGCTTCTAAGTGAGTGAAGAAGCAAAATCTTATAAGAGTGAGTTGTAGTTCTTGTTTTTGAGTGAGAGTGCTCTTGTAATATTTGTTTGAATTTAAATAAAAGTTGTTTGTGTGAGTGTTTCATTTCCTTCACACTCTTCCGGTTAATACTCTATGTGTTACACTTTTGAACTTGTCGTTTGATACAATCTGCAAAATGCATTTTCTATTCAATATATATACATATATATATATATATATATATATATATATATATATATATTAATCTTTAGAAATCCACCTTCCATTTCATTGAATATATACCTGCAAAATGTCACCAATATTGCAGTTAAATATCCATGGAGATGAGGCACATCAACCCACTGATTCTGATGAACAATTTGGAGTCCAATGATATTATCTTCCAAAAGTACAGTTAAAAACGATGCATCAGTATGGCTAGACGTGCCTAAGGTCAACTCAGGCTGAGGACATGCCGGATGATTATGGCACGCAATAAGAGCACCTTTCATCCCTTCAATGCTTCCCAAGTAATCTCTCCTTAGCCCTAATGCCTCGAACAACAATTCAAATAACGTCTCTTTCAACTGCACTACATGTTTCATGTATTCGATCTTTGCCTCCCTGCAAAAACCATCAAATATTATACATCAAGTAAATTTCGATTCCAAAGATCGTTTAATCATCTTCAACCTGCAAACTTGGGGTATTGCTTGTTCGTTTAATTCTCCATATGGGAATTCAATTGCTAGAGTATCTCTCCATGCGTCCACCTTTATGTTTGTATTATAGTCGAAGATCCTTTGTCCGGTTTCGTTACGCGAATACCATGCTTTCTTCAGCTCTTGAGGTTGTTCATGGGACTGACGAACGGCGTCCAACATATCTTCCATTGTGGAAATTGGAACTCCATGATTCACCATTCGGAAGAAGCCCAATGTTTGAGCTGCGTCACGTATTGCATCCACGATTTCTCTTCGCCGCTCACTCTCGAAGCCTTCTAGGTCTATTACCGGAACTTGAAGCCGCGTAGTTAAGGGGGCATCCGTGGAGGCATTTTCTGGAAAAGTCTCCGGTGACCGAATGAAGAAGCTCAGAATGGTGATCCCGGAATCGACTAACCCTTTAACTCCCTCCCTATTTTCAAAGAAAATCTTCATTTCTTTGGTACGGATGTGATCAGCACTTAGATTTTCAGCTTCCTTGTGGTATAACCGTATAAGCCGCAAATAACCATCATTAACATTGTTTTTTTATTATGTCACGTTTATTATTTCGAAAACTGTCGACAAGTAATGAAACAAATCAAACGATTATTGTTTTGGTGCTTTTAAGTGCTTTCGATATCTCTAAATTTTCATTAAACTAAAAAACCCAAGATGAGAAGGAAGCAAAAGCAGTATTCTATTATGGATATATATTTGACAAGCATACATGATAAGTGATGAACATATACATATAACTATAAAATATCTGAATATAAACATGGCCAAACCATAAATGGTGAAGAAGAAGCATGCACCATCAGTACTACTACTAGTGCAGGAATATTAATGAGGCGATCAATCGCCGTCGGTTTTAGCAAGCCAAGAAGAGATGAATTGAAGGACCTGAGCATCCAACGCCTCAGCAGCTAAGAAAAGTTGATGCACCTCTTCTCTAGCTTGGACGATCGCCTCGTAACGCTTCTCCATCGAGTTTGTCAATTGGATCAGCTCCTCTCTCATCTGTTCCGTCGAGGCTTTCAACTTTCTCATTTTCTTCTCCGCCTCCATTTAATGATTACAGGTCAGAGATAGGCCAATGAAAAGAAAAAACAAAAGAAAAAGGAAAAGCAAAGTCAAGTACCTTGATCCTTCTCTCTAGGAGATTCAAGTCTTCTCTGCAAAACATAATGATCTCCAACACTGTTAAGAGTGTGTAGATAGATGAATACCCAGCAGTGTGTGGTGAAGAAGAGCTGGGTTGTTGTTGAAGAAGTGTGTAATTTTTCCTTATTTATACATTTTACGCAGTTGCGATATCGGGTGGTCTTAACCAAAGTCGTGCGATTTTAATCAGAAATGCTTAAAGTCGTGCGATTGAAGGAGACTGTTTTGATTGGGCAGAACCAAATCGGTCGGCTTGTGGACTATACGACAGACAACATCTCAGGTTCAAATTCGAAGTGACGGCTACACCAAGAGTCGTCTATGAAATGTTGACCATACTTTTATGGCTGCACCACAGTGATTGTCATCCTCAAAACCTATGTTCAGAATTATATATATTGCTACAATCAAATTCGACTTTAGATAGCGAGACATAACAAACTCTTATAAAATAAATCATATTTCGTAAGCGAAATTAAATTAAATCGTAATACATAGTATATAAATTTAGATGATATAATCTACTATTATTTGTAACCTAAACCTTTATGCAATTATTTCAATATTTGGCAACATACCCTTAAATTCCAGATCGTCAAAAGTGTTTGGCCTTCTGGAAAATTTGACTCGTAAGCCAATTTTGTCCTTTTGAAATTGCATGTGGTATGGGATTAGAAACGACAAAGCAAAATTGACTTTTAGACCTTAATCTTTTCTGATCCAAAGGAAGATCCATGAATTTATCTACAAATAGAGACGTGACAAGGCATCCAGGATACTGCTTGAGTGTGACGAGCATCGCTTTGGATCGATCCATTATTAAATAATTGAATCGACCAAATAAGTTAATACGAGAGCTGTTGGTCTATTTGTTTGACTGCTATATTATTACAACATAAATTCCAAGATTCTAATTTAAAATGTGTGTTTTGAACCACTTGAAAAGTGAGGAAAACGACGTCCCTATTTTGATTTGGACGTATAACCAAATCGGTAATCTTATTGACTGTGCGACTTATCGTATATTCGTGAGGGAAAATTTTTCATATCCAAATTGAAGACCCTAAATATGGTCGTCTTGCTTTGAATCAAACATGTTTGAAATTGAACACACTTTATTACATACAAACAGCCCATCAGCCCACACCTTAACAAGACAAAACAGTACAGGTCAATTTTAGAGAAGGTGCTAAAATAACTGAGGATGGAAGTGAAGATGCTAAAAGAGGTTTTTTTGGGCTTAATACCCAAACCAGGTTAATTATTTGGAGTATTGGGCCAACATATATTTTATTTGGAAAACTACGACATTCTCTATAGTGAACACCGAATTCGTCACCTCGACGTGACGAGTCCGTTTAACAAAAAAGTATGTTAGAAAATGGATGGAAATATTATTTTCATATTTTATATCAGAGAAATTTTGCTCAGAACAGTGCAAATTTTAAGATTTGTCCGAACAGTGGAATTGTAGTGACTAAAATACAATTTTTGAAAATTACATGGCTAAGTTCGAAAGTCAAAGCCAAGTTGATTCATCTTTGACCAAGGAATATTTTAATAGATGATATGACAATTACATTTGGTAATTTTCAAGATTTATTAAGGATATTTTTGAGATTTTTCATTAATTGAATATTAAATTCAATTATATTAAATCTTGCCAAGTGTATTAAGTATTATATAATAGAATATTCAAGATAATGAAGCCATTTTCAGCTTCTTTCTTCACCAGGGACGAAACTCTCAAGATAAAATAGGTAAGATTTTTATTTTCATTTTTTGAAGCTATTTTCTTGAGAATTAGATTTCGGTGTAGTTAGGAAAAATGTTCTACGTTCAATTCGCTACGTTTTGACATGAATATCACTAGGGTTTATGTTCAAGTTCATCTTGAGCTGATGAAGGGGATGTTGATTTCTTGTGTTTTAGGGGTTATGAAGAGTTAAGTGATTTTAAAGAATTGGTTGTAAGAATTGATGAAGAACCTAAGGATGAAGTTAATGAAAACAATTTAAATTTTGAATCTGACAGTGAATTTGAAAATTCACCAGAAATTCTATAAAACTTATTTGGAGGTGAGTTTTATATATTGTGTTTGTATATCAATCTAGTTTTGTTTAAAATAAACAGGGATAAATTTCAAGATGTATAAAAAATATATGAATTTTTAACCGAGGAAAGGTCAGAAAAACGGGCAGCAAATTTTGCACAAAATAGATTTTATCGGTAAACTTTGAAAATTCACCATCAATTGTATATAATGAATTAGGAGTTATTTATATGGATAGATTCGTATTCGAGTATAGTTTTCAACGGAAGAAACGGAATTAAATTTCAATGTGTATATCAATACAGAATATTGATTCTTTAAAGGTAGTGCAAGTTGTCCTAATATGGAAATTTTAGAATTTAAGTTGAAATGGATTAGAAGATGAAGAGTAATGTTTAAATGTTGAGTATATTTTTGGAGCTTGGAATTGAAGTTAAATGGCAAGAGACCATTTTGAATAAATTGGAAATGTTGAGAAGAATTCTAAAAGAATTCATTTTAATGGTTAGATGGTGGAATTCGAAAGGTTTCAAAACTTTGGGGACTTGTTTGCAAGTTATTAAATGAAGAAGTATTATTTGAGTAAATTATTGAATGCTGGAAAATTTATTAGTATTCTGAAATTTTAATTAAATATTAAGTTGAGGTTTAATTACAAATTTATTGAGTTTGGTGGTTGAAAATCGAAAGTTAGGAAAGTTTCAGTTGAAGTTATAAAATTTTGAAATGTTGAGGTATTGATTTGAGAATTTTACTAATGTGCTGGAATTTTTATATTTAATGTACAATGAGCATAATGGTGAAGGACCATTATGAATTAAATGGAAAGGTTGAGGTGAATTCTAAAAAGAATTCACAATTTGTGGCTTATTTGTGTAATTTAGCAAAAATGAAGGGTTAAAGATGAAAATAAATATTCATGAATTTAGAAGAGTATTTTTGAGAAGTTGGAAATTATAATGGAAATGTGATTTAGTTGATATCGATTTAATCTCGATTTTTATATATTTTCGAATGTTAAAATCAGCTCATGTTAGTACGATACTAATATGTAGTTCGAACATTTTGTGTTATAATTTGGTATTGTCAAACTACGATAAATCTAGCAATCCAAGCGATCCGAAAGGAAAAGACAAAGCTCGTGACTAAGACTATTGTATAAGAGTTTTGTAGTGAGGCAAAGGTGAGTACAGTTATTTATTTAATTAATTTGATCGAGGACGACTTGCGATAAGTCAACCTCATTCCAATTTACAGCATGATTTATAAAGTTTACAAAGAATATTTTTATAATATTCTATATTAGTTTTATGAATGATTTAGGGTATGAACTGCCCAAGCATGATATTTTGATTATGGATTTAATTATGATACATGAGCCCATTGTATGTATAATGAGAATTACTGGTACACTTGGCATGCCATTAGTTGAGTATTACCAGCTTTGATACATTCATGTATCAATGTATCATATCAGCTTTGGTACATTCGTGTATCAATGTTATCATATCAGCTTTGGTACAATCGTGTATCAATGTTATCATATCAACTTTGGTACATTCGTGTATCAATGTCCAGCACCAATGGTGCTTATTCAGGTTATGATGGCACTGAAGTGCATCATATCTCAATATCAGTTACTATTTGCACCGTGTTGTGCATAGTGCACACCTTACTCACGTATCTTATGTTCTCATAAATATGCATTGGGCTATGAAAATGAATATGCAAGTTGTGAATGAATTCCAGTTGACAGAAAGCATGATATCCTTATTTTAGCATATATGATTTATCATAATTTTCATGAGTTCATGATCTAAAAAAGAAATTTCATGTCTCAGTGAAGAAATCGACTTGGAAAAGTTGGTTTATCTGTTTAATATTTTAATTCGAATTATTTTATTTATGTTTATGATATTTTCAGATTTTTCTCACCTTAGATCTGCCTCACTAAGTTATACTTAGCGCGTGATGATTTTCATGCGTAGGGTCTAATTGAGATACAAACGTTTTATGAGGAGCCTTCCAAGCATCATGGGCAGATCATTTATAATACCAGTATCAATAAGACATCATTGAATTTGCTTTTGACTAGTAGTGGTATGTATAATTATGTCAGTGATTTCTATTTATCACATTTATTTTTAATAATCTGTAATAGTAAACTAGAACTATTTTAGTTTATCCTACTTAGTTTAGTTTTATCGTTATCTATGCATGACAAGAATTTATTACA